ACCTATGTTGTTTATTTATTATTTCTTGCCTATATCTTATAATATGAGAAACTACTTTGGCAGGAACAATACACAATGTACTAACCATTGTTACTCTCCTAAAATCTTGTTTTGAGATTTTGTACCATTGTTTTTTTTTTTTTTTTCCTTTAAAATAAAATAACTGATGTCAAATAAAATAAAATAAATGGATGGGCCTTGAGTCTACACTCAAGTGAAATAAATTAGACAAATGTGTAAATATCACTTTGTCTTTCTGGTGTGAGAAACAAAGTATAAATAAGAATAAACATGTATAATAGATATTGTGAAATGGGAAGAAATTGTTCAAAAGGAAAGGGAAACTAGGGAGAGGAGGAAGAAAAGAAAGAAGGGAAAATGAGAAAAGAAAGATAAAATGGAAATAAAGCTTTGCAAATAAGGAGGGGAGGATGGGTTGAAGGAAGAGGAGGGGAAGTGGAAAAAAGAGGAATCAAGGTACTATGTACAAGGGCCGGCCAGATAGCTCAGTGGATAAAAGAGCTTGCTTAGGCAGATGCAGGGACTGGTATTTGATCCCTGGCTATGCCAGCCCTGCCCCTGGGGTGCACTGAGCTGGTGATTGAGACTGGGTATGGTGGTGCGTGAATGTAATCCCAGCGCTTGGGAGGCTGAAAACAGAAGGAGTACTATGAGTCTGATCTGTGTAGTGAGACTCTATAGACCCTGCACTAAATACATTAAAAAAAAAAAAAGGAGAAGATATGTACAGGTACAAATTCCCTGTGATGAACATGATCATTATGTGTACCTAAATGGTGCTAATAAACTTAGAAATAATAAAAATTTGTTATCAAGATTAGGTTATTTTTACTTTTGGGTTTTTCCATTTAATTTTCCAATTAAAATAAAGTAAGTTAGAAATATTTGTTGCATGAAATGTATAAATCAATTTTCCATTTGTTTTAAATTCATATTTTATCACTTTTGTAAGCTCTTAAAAGTGAAGGCTAGAGAATATGGTACTCTCTCTTGCCAACTGTGTACAATGGGGAAACTAAAGCATGGGGAAATACTTTGCTGATGTGAGACTTAAGAAGAGCAATCAAGATGTGAATATTTGTATCTTCTACACTGCTAGGTTATTATACGTAGCTTGAGCCTTTAATTCAACCAACTTGGTGATACTGATTATAAGCAGGGACCTTCACTTTTTAAATGTATATTTTATTTTATTTTTTTCTGATAGAAATGACATCAGATGTGCCATCACTGGGTCCAGCCATTGCCTCTGGAAACCCAGGGCCTGGGATTCAAGGTGGGAGTGCCATTGTCCAGAGGGCTATTAAGCGTCGACCTGGGTAAGTTTTGCGTATAGCATCATGAGTGTCTCTCCTATAAGCCAACCTGATTTAGTTAGTGTTGCAGTCTGCAACTTTTTATCTTATATACTGCTCTTCAGGATCAGAATTGCCTTATTTATTTATTTATTTATTTATTTATTCATTTATGTATTTATTGTGGCCAGCTCAGCCACCCTGGGGGCGGGGCTGGCACGGCATGTAGTGCCAGGGATCGAACCGTGGTCCCTGCAGGCTTGCCTAAGCAGGTGCTTTAGACCTCTGAGCTATCTCACCAGCCCCTAGTTAGTTGTTGAACTCACTTGACTATTTCTGATTTTCTCACTTCAACTGTTATTTACTATAGTGCTGCCTTATAACTTCCACAATCCCTGTACTTTTTTTATATAAAATTGCTGTCTTTATCTAAGTTTCTTATGAACAGATTGTGTGTGTGTGTGTGTGTGTGTGTGTGTGTGTGTGTGTGTAATCTCTACAAGGACTATGGCAAAGCCCAGAGATTTTACTAGATAATCTGTTGCTAAGAAAACTTTGCTGCTTTCATTAAGCTTTGTATCTATATTCTCAAAACTTTGATAAACTTTTTTGAATTTAGAGAATGTTAAACACTAGAATATTCTTTTTTAAGTTACTGTTACTTTGATTTGGAATGTAGAGTTCATTCAGTTCCAAATATATTTAGTAAATACCCAATTAGCATATGGCATTGTGCTGATTGCTGGTAGGATCCAAAGATAATTAAGGCACATTCTGTGTCCCCAGGTTGATCAAATCTTTTTTTTTTTTCCAAATTTTATTGATAAACAGATAGCAATGAGACAGTTTCAAATCAAATCGCAAGTACAGTTTCAACAAATAATACACTGCATATATTCTTCTTAGTGGTTAATTGCCATACAAGATGCGGACTTGAGATCCTATTTACAAACACCATTAGAACAAATCATTCTATTCATTAAGAGAATGCAACTATATATCTATCCCAACCACTTTGAATACACAGATACAAAATGGACATTCATCGGTATACCCCATTTGTTCTAAGTTCTGTTATTGAATATTGTAGGTGTGTAAACTCAGCAAAATATTCTAAAAGAGCCCAGTAGCCCATAATAGCATTGGGTCTTCTGATTAACTGGCAATGTCAGAAATTACTGACCTGAGTCCCCCACAGTTCAACATAACAACATGGCTTTATTTCCTATATTTCGTCTTCATACTTTTCTGCTGGATGGTTAAGACCAAGGTAAAGCAGGACCTATGCAATAAGAGTTGTAGCTTTTTGGTCTGAGAAGGTCAGTGAAATGCCCTAGGATTTATCCTGAGATCCTGTACCTCAGATTGTAGAACCTTTGTCAGTGCAGCCATGTGGATGAGTCACGGCCATTGCTTGGCCTGATCAAATCTTGACAGAGATAATCACTACACACATAAATATATTACATGATAGAAAAGGCAAATTTTTATAAACAACAAATACAGTGTTCTTCAGTATTTGGGAGCAGCTTCAGAAAGGGGTTTGCTTTGGAAAGGCCTTGAAGAGTGGCTAGTATTTTACATATCTTTGGGTATTAAACTTTTTATTAAAAAAAAAAAAACACACCCTAATCTTAACTAGTCTTTAAGCTTTGTTCCATCAGTAATGGTACAAGAGTCATCCTTGGGTCAAGAGGTAGCATGATTAATAAGACTTGTTATGTGTCCAACAGCTTTGTATATTTTAATCTTTTACTAAGGTATAGGATGAATAAGTAACTTCTAAGGTTGTAACGTTAGTAATTGCAAAATACATGAATCATAGGATATTAGCATTAGAAACCACTCTTAAGCAACATACTATGGTTATATATACTACAAACAGCAGTAGGATAAGTGCTTGCCTGGCAAGCACAAGGGCCTGAGTTCAATCCCCGATTCCACCAAAAACAAACAAACAAACCAAAAAAAAAAAAAACAAACAAAAGCAATATAAATGTCAAAATTAGGGGATCATTTGAGAAAGTTATATATTTAGCTAGGTAAAGTTGTACATGCATGTAACCCCAACAGCTGCAGATGAGAGGCTGAGGAGGGAGGATAATAAGTTCAAGAGTAGCCTAGGAAATGTAGTGCCACCCTGCCCTTAAAAAAAAAAAAAAAAGTGTTATAAGTGTTGTATCTGTCCTTTTGTTGTTGTTTTTTAAAATATTTATTTATTTATTTATTTTGAGACAGGGTCTTGCTATGCAGTTTGTGCTGGCCTTGTGCTCACTTTTGTAGCCCCTCCAGACTGGCCTTGAACTCACAGCAATCTTCCTGTCTCAATCTCCTGAGTGCTGGGATTATAGTCGTACGACACCACACCTGGTTCCTAAATTTTTATTAGTATAGTGAGTCCTCAACTTATGAATGAACTTCATTCCAGAATTGTTTTAAGTCAGATTTTTTCATAAGTCTATAATGAGTCTTTTTTTTTTTTTTTCTTGTGGTACGAGGGATTGAACTCAGGACCTTGTGCTTGCCAGGCAGGCACTTATTCTACTGAGCTATCTCCTCAGCCCCAGCCTATAATGAATCATATACAATATACCTGTGAAAGACAATTCACAACTTGAATGTTCTTAAGTTGGGGACTTACTGTACATGTTTGAAATACATAATAATTATATTCATTGTGAGACCCTGTCTTAAAATACATAATCTTAAAGTCTAGAAGAACAACAAAAATTCTAAAAACATTCATCAGATTTCTAGGTAATAGGTTTGTGAGTAATTTAGTAGTAGTAATAGTAGTATTTTAAATGAGACTAGCTTTTTTTTTTTTTTTGGTACCAGGGATCAAACTTAGTACCTTGTGCTTGCCAGGCAGGTACTTAAGCCACTGAGCTATCTCCCTAGTATAAGTGATTTATTATTATTTTAATTACTTTCCAGCTTTCTTGAAATGAGTAGGTATAATTTATAGTCAAAAAAGTGCATTTAAAACTTTTAAAAAATATTTCTTTTAAAGAAAGATTTGAAAATATAGAGAGAGGGCCGGGGAGATGGCTCAGTGGAATAAGCGCTTCCCTGGCAAGCGCAGGGGCCTGAGTTCAATCCCCGGTTCCGCAAAAAAAAAAAACAACGAAAATATAGAGAGAAAGCAAGAAAAGTGGCCAAAGTCAAATATTAAATTTTTATTGTATTTCCTGCAGTCTTTATAGATGTCTTTTTAAATAAGTTTACTCATAATTATATGGGTTTTTTTCATCATTTTCTAGCATAGCATTTTTTTGCCTTGTTATGTGTCCAATATTAATATAATTTTTTAATGCTTGTATAAAAGGAAGATGCACTTAATTCCTTTTTTTTTTTTTTTTTTTTGAGACAGGGTCTCTATGTAGGTCAGGTTTGCCTTAAATTCACTTTGGAGCCCAGGTAGGCCTTGAACTTATGATCCTCCTGCTTCAGCCTCCTGAGTGCTGGGATTACAGGTGTGTGCCACCACACCCAGCCTTTATTCTTATTTTAGGATGTTTAAATTATTTTGAAAATTTTACTAGTATTTGTAATGCTATACTGAAGGTTTTTTGCCTCCCCCATTTCCAATTTCTTCTTCATGGTAGTGTCTTAGAAATGCAGATGTTGGGGAGATGAGTAGGACTTTGACAGATGATCAGGGGCCAGGAAGGAGTAGGAGGAACAAAAAAAATTTTTTTTGAGTTGGTGCCATCTACTTTATATGCAGCTGATTTGGAGGCCCATCATCCCAGTATTCTGTTGATTATTTCTCTTCTATAGAGAAGCTAAGAATAATCACTGGGTTAAGATCATAACATGAGCCACATTTTAGTTTAATAGAATGCAGAAATTAATATGAGATTGGCCTACTTTATTATCTATAATCTGCCCTAATCCCCTCAGGTGAAAGTCACCTCTCCTTTCACTGAATGTCTATAACATGTCAGTTGTGTTCCTCATGTGGCCCTTTCCCATTTTTAGTTGTTTTATATTTGTATTTATCTAGGCAAAAGAGGGCATTGAGGTTTTGTTTTTATTCAGAATGTGGTATATATTTTATGTTCAGACTAACAACTTCTTATGTTTTCCTTTATGTAATAAAATCACTGTTTTGATAAATGTTTCAGAAAGCCAGTAGGGCTTGAGGGGTAGCTCAGTGATAGCATGTACCAGGCCTTAGGTTTGGTGTTCAGCACCACTACCAAGACAAAAGTCCTCAATTAAATTATTTATATTAATTTTTTTCTTTCCTGTTTTGAGTAGATTACTGTTCTTTCTGTAGAGGTTATACTCTGAGGCAAACCTTTCCAAAGGTGGCTGCTACCCCAGGGAAGTACTGGGTTAGCAGTAAGTACTCTTTTCTATTTTCCAGCTTCTTTGCCCAGTGTGGCATGATGGGGAAGATAATATTGTTGTTTGACTTCCACCCACTTTCTGTTTTCTTTCTTCTATTCAGGTGGTTGTACAGTAGGTGTATTGATAAACTTTAATGTTCCTTAATATTCTATATTATCAGTAGACTTAACAGTATTTTTTTATTGGCATTCCCCAGGCTGGATTTTGATGACGATGGAGAAGGGAACAGTAAATTTTTGAGGTAAGAGTTTGAAAAACCTTCTTCAAACTTACAGTGTGAAATTAATTACTGTGTACTTGTAACTTGTATTTATTTGATCTTGGGCCTAGTACCTTTTTAAACCACAGTTTCATGTTATATCCCATAACATTTTCAGGCATTCTTTTAATAATTTCAGAGGCAGTACCTCAGGGAAGAGAAGACAGAATTTTCAAGAGCTTTTATGTCAGTTGTCTGTTAATGATGACTTAAAAGAACAGTGGTTTATTATTTTTCACAATTCTGTGGATTGACTACCTGATTACTTTGCTAATCTTGACTAGACTTACTCAGCCTGCTGATCAGCTGAGAGTTAGACTTAACTGGGATGGCTGGTATCTGACCTTTTTTCCTGAAGGAGGTGAGACTAAGTTTCTTCAGATGGTAATAACTATGGTGCAAAAAGCACATTCTAGTGTGCTTAACAAACGTCTGCTTCTGTAACATTTGCTAATATCCCTGGGTCAAAACAAGACTTATGTTTATGCCCTAGGTCAGTTTTGGAAAGTATCAACACAAGGAAGTTGATACTTGGAGGAATGATTTGTTAATGTACTACTTTATCATGCCCTTTAATATCTATTGACTTCTCCAATAGGTACCAGGAATTAGAATTTGTATTCTTGAGTAATAAATCTTTTGGAGCATTGAAAATAGACCATTCAGTATATTTTTGAGGGGACTCTTCTAAAGGGGGATGTTCTTGCTGAATAGCAATTGTTTGACTTATTTCAATGTTTTTAAAAAAAGGAAAAAAGGAGTAAGATTGAAAAAATATTATCATGACTGTAGCCTTCCTTTTTTCTATCTCAAGTTGAAAATATTACCCAGGTAATCTCTATGTTGCTGAGTAGCAAGTACTTGGTTAAGTAAGTAAAAGAAGGCCTATTAAAAAAATTAATTCGTTATATGGCTCCACAGATTTCATTTATTTATCTTTTTAAAACTTATCGTATTATTTGTTTTATTATTTTTAACAGGAAAAGTAATATAAAATATTTTATTTCAAATTTGACATACAGTAAAAGTACATCTGCCTAAAGTTATTACAGCTTCCACTTTCTTGAGTATTCTTCCAGAAGTTTTCAGTGCATCTACAAGGTCTAAATGTGTGGATATACACAGATACATTAATATTTGCTTCAGTTTTTTTACATGAAAGTTGTCCGTATTTTATTTTTTATTTTCGTTTTTCTGGTTTTTTAGTTTTTGTTTTGTTCTGGGAATCGAATTCAGGACCTTTGTGCGTTTGTGCCTACCAGGCAGGCACTGTGCCACTAAGCTGTATTCCCAGTCCCCATATCTTAAATTACTTGCCATTGTTTAGCTTTATAATGTTTAGTATAATTAGTAATATCTCTTTATTTTTTGTAGTGATATTTAAACTCAAAGTTCTTATTTTTAGCTACTAAGTAGATAATGAATTGTGCCATATACTTTTGAAAATAACAGCTGCAACTTGGCTTCTATAAAGAAATAGTTACAAATGAAAGTAATGCTGTAAGAGGTCTCTTTAGATGTAAAGGGGCTAAAAAAATGTGAAGGGGGTGAGATTTTATTTTCTGGCAAAGGATTCACTTTTTCAAGAAGCTCTATTAGGAATTAATCCATTTCAGAATTGCTTTATAACAATAAGTTATTAGTGGAACAGTGTTGTATATATGAATGGTAAAGTTGACCTCCAGACTTTGTTTATACCTGTCAGTCAGTTAGATCTGACATGAGTCATTGATTCCACAAAATCCACGGGACACAAACTATGGTTATGTGCTACATAGCATTTTGGTCATCAACAGAATACTAGATTGCTAGTGGTCCCATTAGGATAGAATGGAGCTGGAAAATCTCTGTCACTATGATGTTGTGTTATAGTGGGTATTATAACATTGTAGCAGTAAGCATCACTCATATTACACTATCATTTTAAAAAGTACTGTGAAGTTACATGTAGTTTGTAAGACTTGGTAATAAATGACTTTGTTACATATTTACTACTTAGTATTGTTTTGCCAGGCTGGGGATTGCACCCAGAGTTTCTTGTGTGCTTGGCAAGCACTCTTCCATTGAATTATATAGGCAACCCCCATTGTTGTTAGATTGTGAGCCTTCTAAGAAAACAAAAACAAAACTAAATTTTAACATTAAACTGAAAATTTTGTGAAGGAGACTTCATATAACTTCCAAAACCACAAAACCATTTTCTGCTGAAGGTTGAGAGAATCTTTGCTGTGTCCTGTGGCAATGAGAAGACAATCTAGGGAGTAGTACTGTTTTGTCTTTTCATTATAACTTTTCTAGTAGCAAACAGAGTTTATCTGCCAATTAAGTAGAATTTAAAATTACTTTAAGAAGTTCTGGGGGCTGGGGAGATGGCTCAGTAGAATAAGCACTTGCCTGGCAAGTGCAGGGGCCTGAGTTCAATCCCCGGTTCCATAAAAAAAAAAAAAGGTTCTGGCTAGGTTTATGCCTGTAATCCTAGCTTGAGAGGCTGAGGCAGGAAGATTGCTGCCTGAACTCTTAAAGAAGATA